TTTAAATTCAACTGGTGGTTGCAATTTTCAATAAGCCATTTAGAAAAATAAATAAATAAACAACTTTAAAATTAAACCACAACACACACACACACACACACACACACACAGAGGAGTGCAGGTGACATCTAAACAAGAAGGTTGGAGCGCATCAATGTCAACTTCATGGTTGTGCTATTGTACTGCAGGAGGGATACTGGGTAAAGAGTATGTGGAATATCTGTGTTCCTTTTTACAATAGCATATGAATCTAAAAATCATCTCAAAAAGTTCTCTTAATGTTAAACCACAATGGGATTTGGAAGTGAGCAGATTTGGAGGTGAGTCGACCTTGCTGGACTACATTAAGCTATTTGTGTCTTCCTGCAACTCTGTGAAGTGGAGGTTACTTCCTACCCAGCAGGATTATTGGGATCATGAGACATGGTTCCTGATTCGTGGCAGGGACTTACTCAGTATTGGTCACCTTCCCCTGCACACCTTCAAGAGAAGATAGATCCAAAGATAGATCTGGAGAAGAAATTGGGGCACGCAGCTTCAGTGCCAATCTCCCAGGAAGGGTGTTATAAGACCTGAAGCCAAAGATRGTTTAGACGATGGGTACATCAGTGAGAAGCAGCCACAGCAGTGTAGTGAGCAACGCTGTTACATAACTGTCACAGATCACCAGGCGGATCAGCTAACATGGCTTGGCACGGTTTACCAATAAAATAAAATAACAAGGCAGCTTCCAAACCCGGTCCTGACACAGCAGCCAGGGTCGCAGTCTACATGGACTCCCCGGGCCTAGGAGCTCTCGGTTGACTCAGACATGTTGTAAATCTGCATAAGTGGAAAAAAACAAAAGCGATGCCTCTCTGGCTGGCCTCCTGAATAACTGTCCCCAAGAGGCCCAGAGAAGCTTTCCTTCGCTTGCAAAGTTTTTAATCCTATCTCCCAAATATGAGTTTTCCATGCAGCTGTGTGGATGAGGAAATAGGGAGAGACAAAGGAGAACTGTGCATTCCTAGACATTTCTCGGTCCTGGGATGGGACTGTTGGATGAAGGCCAAAATGTGTCTCCCACATGTCTCCCAAAATACTTTGTTTCCCAGGGCTCTCAGTCTGTGCCCCTGATCTGGGGAATGTTTTATCCGTGATCAGTGACAGGAACACAGAAGGCAAACCTAGCAAATTTTCTAACAATACCGAGGTGAAAAAAAAGGTTAGGGGACAGAATCACAATTTTTAAATGATTTTGGCAGGCTTTGGCTGACTGGGCTGAAAACACGAAGTCGTCATTTGATAGGGAGAGTGTTAAAAATCCATCCTACAAAGTCAAAAGCAGAAATACAAGTTAGGAGAGGCTTAGGTTGGCAAGAGTTTTATATGAAAGGAGGTAAGGATTTTATTGGATACAGGAAAGATATGAGTCAACAATTTATTGTATTAAAAAAGAGGTTAGAGATCAAAAAAAGGAAAATAATCTTTCTACTTTATCTAATTTGCACTAGTCAGACAATATCCAGCGTCATGGAGTCATTTCTAAGGACTAAGTTTTAAAGAAAGATGTTGATAAATTAGAATGTGTCACTGAAAGGAGGAAGGAAAAGGGAGGGCTGAAATTTAATATATAATATATAATATATATATATATATATATATATATATATATATACTGTAAATATGTGTATATAAATATATTATATATATTACCGCATGGAACAGGAGTAAACTTGCCTATTTTGCTCTGAAAGCGAGAAGTGGGATTAATGAGACAGAGTTCATGGCAACATATTTTGGCTCAATAGAAGGAAAAAATTTTCAAATAATTAGAGTAGTTCTTGACAGGAAGAGCTATTTCATGAAATTGTGAGCTTTCTGTTATTGAAAATGTTCAAGCCAAGGCCAAAATGAGTGTTTGGGATTCTGAAGGATCCCAATGTGGAAGGAGAGCTTGGGGGAGGTGACCTTTCAGATCACTTCCAACTCCCATCGACCATGACTTAAATTAGCGTGAATGCCAAGGCTGCTTATGACACGCTAGAGCTGCTTCTTCAACTCTTGGCTCCGATACTGACCAGCTGTGTGACCTTCAGCTACGAAATTAACCATTTCTTTGTCCCAGTTTTCTCATCCATAAAATAAAGGAGCAGAATTTAATGATGTCTACGTTGTTCCCTGGGGACATCTGTCTCCTTAAATGGCCTCATAATTACAGCACGCTGGGCTGATATCTGCCATTTTCCTGAGTCTGCTTGCAAGGAGGAAGTCTAAAGACCAAAATCCATTCTTGATCCTGGGGGCCACTGAACTAAAGTCTCAATTTGCTTGTTGGAAAGAGAGCGTGATTATTATGATCCTGGAATTTTCCCTTGAGATCTGCAGGAGGAAGTTGATCAAATAACTGATAATCTGGTTTCTCTCAAACACCTGTACATTCTGACTGAGTTCAGTAATGCCTTTTAAAACAATTTAAGAGAAATGAAGATCATATTACTATTGCAGTGTAGCTCTGTCTTTTGCAAAGCAAACCTTTGTTTTTTATCTGCTTAATGACCCGGCAATTGCCATTGAGTTTTGTTTATAGCCATAAGAACAGATACTCATAAAGCAATTTAGTGACAAATTTGTTCTAAAAGCTTGGTATAAATAGATTTATTTAGTTGACTTACAAGCTGAAAATATAATGATAAATCAATAGATGAGGTCCTTTTTTCCCCTTATGGAAAGGGCACAGTTAAAATCTCGTTTGTCTGTCTTCATGGTAAAGAGTGGGTATTCTCAGGCTTCATGGCTCAATGACTATGATTTCTTTTGTGGTCCATCTGATCACTAGTGCTTTTCTTCTCTCCTTATGGTAGGGTGCCTCACTCCCACCACTATTACATTCTAGCTCTTCCTTTATTCCTTCTTCGACTTCTCTCTGATACCCATATCATTGTCTCCACATCCCACTTCTTTGGTTATTTTTCCCAACCATCTTCAGCTACCCAGCCATCTGTGTGAGTGTCATTGTTTGCTTTGATGTAGACATAGAAGGGAAGGCACAGGATTTACAATATCTCTTCCAGTTACTGAGGTCAGCAGGGGAAGAAATAAGAAAAGTTATTCTTCTCAAAAGGACATGAAGAATTTAAAACTTCATTCCTTGGCCAGGGATTATGGCCATGATCCCTGTGTCCAAATACAGTACCACATTTTCTTCCATCTCTTTGTTTCCTTGGGTTGGAAATAAAAACAGCTGTTAAAAATAAGAGCCTATGAGTCAATCTGGAATCCCAATGTAGTAATTACCATTTCCATCTCCTTCGGTCAAGTCCCTCCCAGTGTACTGAACCCCATATCAAGCCCCTAGAGAAAGAGAGAGAGAGAGAGCACTACCAATGGTGCTGTGTATTTTATAGCAAGACCTTAATTTTCATTTTCTAAACCTCTGAGGTTAAACACTCAATCAGTTGCCAAGCCAAGAAAAATAACAAGGAAGAAAAGAAAATACTTTAACTCAAAAACTTGGGACAGGCCCATTTTCTGATTTTTTGAATTTGATGAGATCTTTATATTGATATTAGAAATGTCATTTTCCTCGTTCACATTTTTGAAGGTGGAAAATCTGGTCTTCAGGTTATCTCTGAAGAACTTTTCCTGAACCCTTTTAGAGTCTACACCCTGAAATGTGTTTTCTCTTTTCCAAGCTCCTGAGACTTGGGACCTAGTAAGCCAATCTCAAAAGAGTTCCCTACGGCCTGTTAATTGGTTGTCACCTTGCAGAGAAGATTCATCCTCTTTTAGTTCTGCCCAGTTGCCCCATCAGTCAGTTGGCCCTTGACTGAATAACCCACTGACTAAAACTAGGAAGGTCTTCCAGTGAATCCACACCTTCAAGTGACCGATTCCATCTTCTGTCCCTTTCCCTCACTTCATCCTCGCTTTCTGAAAGTTGATTTCTTTACTGTTTGATTAGATCTTTCTTTTCTTTTTCTATTTTTTGGTGTTGGGGATTGAACCAGGGCCTCATCCATTCTAAGCACTCACTATACCACTGAGCTATACCTTCAGCCCTGGTTAGATTATTTTAAAAGTTCATTTCCCACTAAGATTTCTACAGCTGTGTTATCACTGTGTCCTGCAAAATCTAGTCTTATGTGTTGGAAGGGAAGGCCCTGGCCTGTATGGTGCAATTGGTGAAATTCTAAGGTGGACATTTGGCCCCAGCTCCCTCTGTCACACATAAATAAAATCCTGCCATTGGATATCCATTCCTTTGTGGTGGGATATGACTTCTTACCTATAACACCACTTACAGTCCAATATTTTTGGAAGGAAAAACCCATAAAACTAGTTTGTAAAGCAATGTAGTATGTTGATCAGAAGAAAGTTCAAAGTCAGTCACCCTGGATCTGCCACTTACTATCTCTAGGTCTTTGAGCCATTAATTCATCTTTCTGTGCTTTGGGTCTCCTCATCTGTAAAATCATAAGAAATAATACTTTCCTCCAATTTTTGCCAAATCTCAGTGAAACAGGTCAAGTGTTTCAAAGAAGGGTATTCTGCTCTAGGTGTATTAATAATTATTGTCTGATGTTTGCATGAATTAGCATATTACATAGATGTCCTTTTCACAGATAGTTGACATTAGGTCACAAAGAAATCGGGGTTGTATTTGGGAAACTGAGATACTTTGGACACAAGAGGTGCAGTATGAGTGAGATGTGGGGTTGGTAGGGCAAAGTCACTGGTGCCTCGGTGGAGAGAGAGAAGCATTTTTACAGGAGAAAAAAAGGAGGTTTTTCGTCTGCTTCCGGCTGATGGAATTAATCAGTTAGGGTGGTGAAGAAGTAACGTGATGCCCACCTGCAAATGAACTTTGAATTGGGTGCTTGCTCTGCTTTTTCTGTGTCTCATAACTTCATGACTTGTAAAAGATAATGCTAGACCTCAACCTTTACATTTGAAGAACCATGGAAAAATCTACACTAGAGCATTTTCCTCTGCTAACTGTCCCTTCCTCTTTCCTCCAGATTACAGGAAGCAGACGACATTTGAAGCCCAAGCCTTTTTAGAAGCTGTGCAGTTCTTCCGACAGGAGAAGGGTCACTATGGATCCTGGGAAATGATCGTTGGGGATGAAATCCAGGTAACACAGGGCTCAGAATTTCGGATCTTCTCTCTTTCTGGTTGGTAGGAAGTCAGGGTTATTTTTAATAAGCAATCAGAAGAGAAGTGGCAAGAATGAAAAATGTCATTCCAAAGGCCATTTCTCTCTTGGCTAGAAGCGGTTAGTCAGTAAGCTACTGGGCACCCACTACAAAGAACCCCAGGCCAGGCACTAATAGGGCAGCCCAAAGCACCCCGGGCACAGTGGAAAGCTGCTCTCACTGTCTTTTATCAAAACACCACTTCTCCCAAATGACCTCATCCTTCCAGACTAGAAGCAGATGTGAGTAATGGGGTATTGTGCAATGTGTGTATGGGGGGGTGGAGACAGGGTCATTGGACTTGGATTTAAATCTCGCAAATTATTTAACCTCTTTCAGCCTCAGATTATTCCTCTGGAAAAAAATGGTCATAATAATGTTTACCTTGTAGAATGGTAAGAATTCAGTGAGATATTGTTGAAGCAATATTTGGCACAGTACTATCTTTATCTATGGAATATTATATATTTTAATTAATTTATTGGATTCATTGTGACAGTCATACATGCACATAACATAACTTGGTACTGAATGACATATAAGTGAAGTAGTAAATAGAAACAAATTTCAAAAGCACTAGCCAATTATCTGTTTTGTTTATCTTTTCTACTTTTGTGTCCTCTGTGATCCCTTATAATTTCCCATGATCCCAGTAAAATGCCAGTCATGGCCTAAATACCTCAGTGTGAAGCAAATCTCAGTGTGGTCACAAATCTCCAAAGGAAGCTGATTTGTGCTCTGATCCTAGCCTCCGTAGTGACCCTGTTCATGTGGCTGATCATGCGCATTATTCAGTTATAGAAACATGGTGTCCAGGAATGATATTTATGCATTTATATTTGCTGCATCTCCAAGAGAGCCTCTTTTGGAGGTTGCTGAAATTTGCTATCAAGAAACGGTATTTAGGAGGTGCTGGATGGTGTTTTGCCCTCTGTATGTTCATTAAACATCTAAAGCCCAAATTTTCTCACGATGATGGAGCTGTTCTTCACTGTTTTGCCACRTGAACTGGAATCTTTCTCCCTCCCCAGCCCCTTCTTCGATTCTAAATCCTTTTATTTCCAAGTACTGGGGATGTTTGGAGGTAGTGCACTCGCCTGGCATGTGTAAGAACCTGGGTTTGATCCCCAGCACACCCCACACACACATATACACACACAATCAAATACCATAAGTCAGGGGGGAAAAATCCAGAGGAGGGACAATAAGAATGACCTTCTAGGAAACAACTGTAGCATTCCATCTTCTATCAACTAAACGAGAGTTACCAAGTGGCCCCATGAAGAATCTGAGTTTCTTTAGTGAAAACAGACTCATAAAACCTGAGTGCTAAAAGTGCCTTTCAGGGTGTTTGTCCGGCACTCTCCAGGTGAGGAAAAGAACATTCAGAAAGGTTGTCCAAAGCCAGTCTGTGACACAGATGGGCCTGGAGAAGCTGGCRAAAGTTGATTCACCATCACCCTTAATACCTAAGCTCAGAGCGAAGAGGTCAGGACTGAGGAGCTAAAGAAAGTGGCAAAGTGTAACTGAATTTGAGAATATGACTTCTTTTACCTAAAGCTCTGGGTTTATTTGCATTTTTTCCCTCCCTATGACAAACTTAATCATAACACTGTGTGACCCCCACCCCCACCCCTGGGAACCATATCAGAAGATTCTCAGCCTTGTTCCATTATCTCTTCATAGTAGTGACTCACATAGCAAGTATGGCGGGGTCCCCTGGCAATGGTTATTTTCGGCAAGGATTCAGACTAAGAAGTTTCTCAAAATATCTGGCCTGACAGACTGTTAAGGTGAAACTATGTGTATATCAATAAAAAAAAATCAACACGTTTGCTACTTGTCAATATAATATATCAAGTGAGATCATGAGAGACAGTCTTCTGCAAAATGTAAAGCAGCTCCCAGTTGGTAAGTTTATTATTTGCCTTTCCATCGGCCAGATGGGAGAGACCATAGCTCCTAATTCCCAGAGCTGAGTGGTTTCAAGAAAACTATCCACCTTTCAGGCCTCGTCCATGCATTCTAGAGCTGTCCTCTTATTGAAGGGTTTTGAGTGTGACCTTCTAAATAGATTTCTCACCCACAGTCCTTCAGTAGCACCGGGGCTGGGGGCCCAGCAGCCTCGTCAGACCTGAGGCCTACCTCAGGAAGTGGGTGCTGTCCACTGGGCCCCACAGCTTTCTCAAGCTTCGGTCTCTGAAAGGAAGACTGTGGTGTGGCCTTCAGTGAGTGAGCCCCAGTTTGTTGGTTGTGATCAGCCTAATGACATGCTTGATTATATGCGCGATAAAACTTTAAAATCTTCGTATCCCAGTGGTTAGRTTCTCCCCACACTCTCCCTGTTCTTTTTTATTAGATGAGATTACATTTTTAGGACCCTCATGGTAAAACTCGGTGGATTCTGTCTTGTGTGGAGGAGATTAGAGAAMGCTTTTGTTGTTATGATGTAATTTGTTAGATTAGCTACTTTCTCTACAAAAGCCCAAGGCCGATGGCCCTGGTTATGGAGAGCTGACCAGGGTAGTGAATCCCAGAGTGGGCCCTGGGCATGTGAAGTGGGATGGGCTGAAGGTCAGAGGAGGCTGATGTGGGAATGAGACAGTTGGGTGTCAGCACCCACAGCTCTTCCTAAGCCCCAATCCACTCACCCCCACTTCTACCCTCCTCTTTCTTTTCCCAGACATATTTACTTGTCAACTCCATGGTTGTAAAATGAAACCAAATTTTTTGGAACATTGTGTGGGAAAACCCAGAGAAAACTGTAAGCCCACCCAAATGGAATGTTCTTCCCCCCACCCCCCCCTTTGGCCTTGTTATAAAACATTTGCCTCTTTTTCAAATCTATTCATACTCAAGCTCAAATTCAAACCAATCTCAGCTACAGGGCGCATTAGGACATTTATTATGATTTTTGAGTTTAATACTTTACAACCAAGATAGTATTTCCTATTGGTCATAAGCTCCAGTGTTAGTTTCTGTGCCTCTTAGCTACCTCTCCTCAWGCCACACTTGGATTGCTCAGGCAGGTGCATTCTAAACGGGAGCTTGCCCATCTGAACAGGATGAAGCCCTTCCCAGGGGACTATTAATCACTTACAGAATGTAGTTGTTGGATTTGCTGATTTCCGTGGAGTTTGTACATGTCAAGTTCCTGTTCAACTCCTCAGAAAATGATGATTCATCTCTTAACTGCCCCCAGAGAATGGTTAAGAAAGGTAAATACATCTCTACCAATGGGCTCCCAGGACTAGTGGAAATCCCATCCCCATTCATCCCAGTAGGCAGAAGCACAGTGCAGGTGAGCAGCCCCACCTGCTGCCCTGACCTGAGCAGCCTTCTCTCCTGGAAGCCAGGGGCACAGGTGGACTAGAGGGCTGGTACACCTCCACCTGGGAGTGTGGGCAGAAGCCTACACCCTTCCCTAACAGAGCCCTCGTGAAAGGCAAAATCTAGTGAGCTCACAAGTGTTTCCACTAGCATGCAGCTGACCAGTGACCTCAGAGGAAATCTTCTGTAATCCCCAAAGCATCATTTGAATTTTTATGAAAAGTGAGAAGGAGAAGATCAGGTTTTTTTGGATAAATATTATTTTAACTTCACAGAACAGATATCTTGAGTGAGTCTCTGCTTTTCTGCCTGTTTCCATTCCCACCCATCACTACACTTGCCCTTTTGTACATCATTTTTCCCCCCAATACTAGGGATTGAACCCAAGGTGTCATGCATGCTAGGCAAGTGCTCTACCGCTGAGCTAGCTACACCCCAGATCCCTTTTGCAAATCTTAATCTGCAGCATGCTGTTGAAAGTTGAGCTCTGAGCCCCAGAAGACTCATTGTAAAAGTGCAGCTGAGCAGCAGAGCTGCTGCAGTTTGAGGGTGGGGTGTGGGGTAAAGACAGAAGGGTCAGTGTTAAGGGAGCAATGATGCATGGACGTAGATCTGCTCAGTCTCAAAGAAATGTTTTCACTGATCCAAGGAACATTTTAGGAGAGATTTAGGAACACATTTTTTTWAAAAAAAAAACCCTGGCCTCCCTGTATTCAGCTTAGCCTACCAACGTCCGATTGTTTCAAAGTATTTCTTTCTTTTTCTTGATTTATTTAAGATACTTTTCATAAACACTCATACTATTTCAGGCAGGATATGGACAGACAACGGTATCCAACAACTTTTAAACTCCCTTCTTAGTGTGGACTACCAGCATCCAAAAGCCACTGTAAGACCCAGTGACAACTTCTTTCAGTGCTCTGAACTGGACAAGTTCAGGGTGACAGTTGACACCACATTCAGCATGTTTTTAACAACTTTCCATGAGCCATCGCTGCTTTCAAGAAAGGAAAGGAACATGGCAGAACTCTCCATCTGGAGATCCACTATCTAGAAAGGGAAGCTTTTTGGGGGGTACAGGCGGCTAACGGGGATTGAACTCAAGGGCACTCGACCACTGAGCCACACCCCCAGCCCTATTTTGTATTTTATTTAGAGACAGGGTCTCACCGAGTTGCTTAGTGGCTTGCTTTTGCTGAGGCTGGCTTTGTACTCATGATCCTTGGGCCTCAGCCTCCCGAGCCGCTGGGATTACAGGCTGYGACACTGTACCCGGCTAGAAAGGGAAACTTTTGAGGGATACTATCTTAATGGTATCACTGGAAAGTCCAGGTTGTCTGWCATACTGATAACCAATTTTGCGAAGAAGAGGTTCCCATAGGTCTCTGGGTTTAAGGAGGTTAAGTGGATACTGAAGACAGACAGTGAGAAGAGAATGTAAAAACTAATTTTAGTGTTTTCATGCCATGAGGCTGTGTGTCATCGTCAAGGAATCCCTCCTCTGGGAGCCAAGAGGAAGTCCCTCAAAACTACAAGAGAAAAGTGTTTTCCCCACAACAATCCAGCTTTGGAGACTTTTATTTGTGATACATGCTTCTTGCCCCTAAAACAACAATAACATGTTCTSTGTGTYAACAACATAGCTTTAAAAAAAGTAAAACAAAACTCTCTGTTTTTATAAAACTTGATTTAAAAATAGTATTTAAAGCTCTCCAGTCACCAGAAGTAGAGAGTCATCTAAAAAGCAGACACTTTCCTTGGCATCTCCAGGACCTTCAGGCCTCTGTGCCTGGTTTGTTTGGACATCTCCAGTTTCTGAGGGTTATTACCATTCTTGCCCATTTCAGTTTTTTCCTTTTGCCCTTTGGGTACATTCTCTTCCTTCTTGGCAGGAGCATTTTTGAGGCTTGAGCTCAGCCTTTAGAGAGCAGGTTTAACCAACAACCTTGCAGATCTTCTCTGTGGCTCTTCCTTCACCTTGGCATTAGCAAATCTTTAGCGTTCCTTTCAGCCTTTCTCTCTCTCTCTCTCTTTCTTTCTTTTTTCTTTTTTGGCCCAGGATTGAACCCAGAGGCACTTAACCACCGAGCCACATCCCCAGTCCTTTCTATTTTAAAAAATGTTTTGAAACAGAGTCTCACTAAGTTGCTTAGGGACTTGCTAAGTTGCTGAGGCTGGCTTTGAACTTGCAATCCTCTTACCTCAGCCTCCCAAGCTGGTGAGATTACAGGTGTKTGCCACCACATCTGGACCTTCAGCCTTTCTCTTGGGCATGGTGGTGGTGCAGGATGTAAGTGCTGGTCAGGGGAATGCAGTGGCTCAGGGGCTTTAGGCCGTCTGGGGATTGTTCTCGAGCTCTTCTTCTTCACATTGCTCCTCTTTTCTTTTTCTAAATATCAGAGAAGGTGAAGATGGTGTTCTTTCCATGAGGAAATGGCACTGGAGGAGGGTTAGCAGACGGTTCTGTTCCTTGTGAATGTTTAAGCATGTTTACTCCACAAGATTGTCTTAGTTGATATTTCTGTGGCCTCAGAACCAGGGGTAAGCTATTAACCTAGGCTGGGGTCTGATTCATGGTGGAGTGGGTCTTGTTAGAATGTGCAAAGCCCTGTGTCCAATCCCCATGCCTAGCTACACACACACACACACACACACACACACACACACACACCCCATTACCCCAACAGAGTTCACAAAGACCAGGACGGGGACAGCCACTATGAGATCTCTAGTAGGCCCAATGCTCAGACTAGCTGGCTGACCTAGGGCTCTCTTCCACGCCCCAGATCCTGAGCAACCTGGTGATGGAGGAGCTCCTGCCAACCCTGCAGACAGACCTGCTGCCTAAAATGAAGGGGAAGAAGAATGAWCGGAAGAGGGCCTGGCTCGGTGTAAGTGGTGAGGTTGCTCTGCAGCCCTGCTTCTCAAAGTGCAGCTCCTCTTCCCTTTCCTTTTCAGGGCATTTGTTGTTGCTGATTTTAAATAGTTTATTCCCTGGGTGAAGAAATGCCCACCTCAAGCCTGCTTAGTTCACTTGCATGAGGACTAATCCAAACAAACTTGAACTTTAAAAGAAAAATTCGARTGCGCCTGCGGTTCATTCATGCCGTGGGAGTCTGCGTCCACCCTCCTCCTCCCTCTCCTTGAGCCCCTCACACACTCSCCGCTGCAAGCCAAGATTCATGTGTCCTTCCCTTTCAGCTGCTGGAGGAGGCTTACAACCTGGTTCAACACCAAGTTTCAGAAGGATTAAGTGCCTTGAAGGAGGAATGCAGAGCTCTGACCAAGGGCCTGGAGGGAACAGTCCGATCAGACATGGATCAGATTGTGAACTCAAAGAACTTTTTAATTGGGAAGATCAAAGGTCAGTGGAGATAATCCATGCTCCTACTAATTAAATAAGCTGTATGTTTAGGGATTCATTCATAGTTAGATCTCTAACTAGCCATCTGTATCTGCAAGTCTTACATCGGTGGTTTCAAACAGCTTCAGATCAGAAAAGTATATATTTTTAATTGTATTCACCAGGTACAGATTTCTATTCTTAAAAATTATTTCCTAAATAATATAGTGTAACGACTATTTATGCAGCATTTGTRTTCATTAGGTATTATAAGAAATCTAGAGATGACTTAAAGTATGTCATGTATACAGACAGATGCACGTAAGTAAAACACAAATACTGTGCCATTTTATATCAGGAACTTGAGTGCCCTTGGGTTTTGGTGTTCTCAGTAGTGGAGGTAGATGGGTATTGCCCCAAAATACTGAGTGATGACTGTTCATAGTTTTAGAGAATTAAACCGAGGGAATTGGGGAGGTGATAACAGTTATACTAGGAGCCCGCTGTAGGTGACATGAAGAGCCTAGGTCTTTCCTTGGAAGCTTCGTGGACACGAGGTGGAGGGAACTTGCTTCATGCCCTGTGGTGTTACCTGTGTATCCTGATGCTGTCTGTGCTGCCCCAGTTATTGGACTTCTTACATGGACTTAAAGTGGCTTCTGTCCACCTCTGCTGTGTTGTAAGCTCTCAAAGACCAGAGCCAAGCCAGGCGCGGGGACACAAGTCTGTAATCCCAGCAGCTCGGGGCATTGAGGCAGGAGGATGGCAGGTTCAAAGCCAGCCTCAGCAACAGTGAGGCACTAAGCAACTCCATGAGACCTTGTCTCTAATAAAATACAAAATTGGGCTGGGGATGTGGCTCAGTGGTTGAGTGCCCCTGAGTTCAATCCCTGGTACATCAAATTGTGAAATATGATGTATTAAGAACTATGTAATGTTTTGAACGACCAACAATAAAAAAAAAAGATTAGTCCTACCTCATGTGATTGTCATGAGGATTAAATGAGATATATTTGTCCATCATAAGAAAAAAAATAATAAAAAAATAAAAATAAAATAAAATAAAAAAAATAAAAAGGGCTGGAAAGTGGTTCAGTGGTTGATCACTCCCCAAAAAATTAGAAAAAAAAATTTTTAAAAAGAAGTAAACCCTGAAGTCTTTTTAAAACAAAATATCGGAAGCACATTTTAACCAGACCTCTGGTTTCCTACCTTTAAACAAAGAGAGAAATCTCAGGCTGCATTGATAAGGGGCCTTGGATTTCAAACAACCACAACAACGACTGTGGGAGTGGTGAGCAGGGCTCTCTGCACTTGAGCTCTGCTCCGCAGTTGTCTTTTCATTTCTTCAGCATTTATTCTGCTTCTGCTGAGTCCAKGGGCTGTGAGAATTAAAAGACAACACGATTTTCCAGGTAAGAAGATGAMTATCTTCTTGTCACAGATACAGAGACAGAAGGAAGAATATGGGAGATGCCCTGAGAGGTTAGAACAAAGCTTAGTGGTTCCCGGTCAGGATCCCATTTCAACTTCAGAAAACTGTGCGGGTGCATCCTAAGGAGGGTCTGTTTGAGTGTTGGGCAATTAGAAAGAATGATAATGCCAACAGGTACAGTAAGAGTTAGAAGGAACTGCAGGCTTCCAGGGCTCCTCCTCGGTTCTAAGCACTTTGCAAATCGTAAACCCATTTAATCCTCATCATAACCCCAGGAAGGAATGGCTTTTATGAGCTCCATGGTACAGAGGCAGAGATTAAGGAACTTGCCCAGCTAGTGAGTGGCAGTCTGGCTCTGAACCCWTCCTTTTGGCTCCGTGGTCCCCTCAGGGCTTTGTGACAGTTGTCCTCACTTGAGCAAGCCTTTTGAATGAACAAGTCACAACACGGTATTCATCACCACCGCATCTTTGCATGCTTGAGAAAATAGCAGAGCATCCAAGTGTGGGATGTGGAGTTCAAGCAGCTCGTGAGAAGACACCTGAAGACCGTAGTTCAGGAAGCTGTCACCTGAAGATCATAGTTCAGGTGGTACCAGGGCATTAGGCTGTCCCCRATGGGTGGCATTTGATCTAGGCCTTGAAGACATGAGAAGGATGTTTATGAGTAAAAATGGAAGAAGGAAGGCCCAGGTAAAACAGGGGTGAAAGAAGGCAGGAGAGCGGGCTGGAGCACCCTGTGGCAAACAGGAGGCCGGAGCAAGTGCCCCGAGGAGCATCCCCTGCCACGCCCACCCTCCCAAGCCTTGTCCACCCCAGGCTGCAGGGGAAGTCGGCCAGCTCTGCCGAATCACGACTTCACGTTGCAGGATTATTCCAAATTTTCAATTAGATTCTTTTCAAGTAGTTCCTCTCACACTTAATTAACTAATAATTAATTTATTCTCCTGGCAAACAGTTTTGCATTTTAATATCAAAAGAAGTCATTTTTACCAGGCATAGATTGTTTCATATTTGAACCATAAAACCAAAATGGTTTTTTTTCCTAGTAATTCCAAGGCCTGTTTAATAGTTTACATCCCAAATATTTTTAGTACTATTCATCTAAGACTCTCAGAATCAAAGGACCCATTTGATCCTCCATGACTCTGACTGATTTCTATAAACCAAAACCATTCGTCTCCCCATAAGCAAGTTCTTTGCCAATAAGAACTTTAAAAACACCCTTGAATTTAGTGTCACTTTTGCAAACTAGGATGTGACCTTGGCTGAGTCACCCAACACTGCCAGGCCTCTTTTTCCCCCATCTATAACATGGAGGTGGGATGCCCTGGGGGCTTGAGCTTCCCTTGAGTTCTGGGATGCTGTGTCAAGGCTTGTGACCTGTCCAGCTCCGCAGAGCAGGCTCAGCCCGGTCCCCTACTCACTGCTTCTGAAGCTGGCTGATCCTGAGACTCCCCTTGTGCTGGCTGCCACAGGCTCCCCTGCCCTGCTCTGTCGCACCCAGACCCATGGTCTTCCTCCTCCAAATCAAAGCGACTATATGTCTCTGGGGAGAGGAATTATGGCAACATTTTTAAAAATCTCTCTTTGTGATTTTCTGTACTCTGTACATATCTGTTGCTATATTTTTTTCCTTATCAGGGGTAAAAAATATTGTGGTCTTGTTTGGATTTGCTTTAATTGTGAATGGGGACAGAAGGTGTGATGGCAAACTGAATGCAAGTTTGTTCCATTTGACTGAGAAAAGATTGTCCTTAAAAAGTTTGTGTGTGTGCGCACGCGCGCGCGGGGTGGGTGATGGAATTATATTCGTTCTCTTAGAGAAATGAATATATAAAAATATAAATTATAAAATAATAAATTATGTCTATAGAAAAAAAAAACTGCATACATGAGGAGAATGATGGATAGGAGTAGGCTGGTCCCCAGCATTTTCTTCTTAGTATTAGGTTTTGCGTGTTCACAGAAACCAAGCAAAAGAGAAAACTCAGGAGGGCAGAGCGTCTGTTTGCACGGTTTCTCAGAGCAGCCATTGGTTCCCATTCTGATGACCCTGGCACTGGACCCTGGTGCCCATCTCTGGCCCATTTGAACCTGCCTAGGCTGCTGGGTGGTTCCATGGGGCACCGTCCAGCCCTGACCTGGCCCCAGTGCCCTGGATCCAATTTTACCCTAAGTCACACTTTTTTTTGGCTATTTCCTTCCGCAGCATTGGTGGCCCAACCCGCAGAGAAGAGCTGTGGGGAGAGTGTGCAGCCTTTCCTGGCCTCCATTCTGGAGGAGCTCATGGGGCCGGTGAGCTCAGGGTTCAGTGAGGTGCGCTCGCTCTTTGAAAAAGAAGTGGATGAACTCGGCCAGAGCTTTCGCACCACCAAAGACGGCGCCCAGCTAAAGCAGGTAGGATGGCAAGCCAGGAGCTGTGGGCAGCTGGGCTGCTGGGGCTGCCCTCTCCACGGTGCTTCATCTGCCCACCTGCCTGCTTTTCTCCCTCCTCCCTCTCCTCTGCCCTCCCGTCCACTCATCTGGCCTCTCTTCCACCCATCCAGCCACCTCATTCATTTGCCCCTTCATACATACATCCATTCACCTAATTTTCTTCATTAAAGATGTTCAAGTTGCAAAGATAATAATGTTTGTATAAGTGAAAGAGTATACTCAGTTCATACATGCACAATATTCACAGGCAAAAGTAATCATCTTCACTGATACACACGAATCCAGTCCCCCCCACTCCTAGCCACCTTCATTCCCACTCCCTGAATTAGTAATATAAGTAGCTCCATGTGTTTTCCTGTGGGTTTTTTCTTTGTTCTTCCAAATATATAAGCATATACCCTCATTTAAAGAACTTTGTTTGATTCTTTTATTTTCAAAACTATACACTCGGGATATAGAATGGGGTCTTTCAAAGTGGGGTCCCTGGACCAGCATGTCATTATCACCTGGTTGTTAAAAATGCAAATCCTCAGGCCCCTCATCATATCAGGAACTCTGGGGAAGGGACCCTGATATCTTGTTTCAGCAAGACTTCCAGAGGATATGGTGTACCCTAAAATTGAGAATAATTGGCATGTACGTAACTTGGCACCTTGGTTTTCTACTTGACATATCGTGATGAACATCCCAACAAGTCAGTAGATTAGACCAGATGATTTAATTCTGAATCTTTTCCTTCCTTCCTCCCTCCCTCCCTCCCTCCCTCCTTCCTTTTCTGCCTTCTCTCCCTCCTTTCTTCCTTCCATCATTAAAAGCTAATAGCTATTTTTTTCTTTCAATTGTATATATTTATGGGATACAGTGTGATAATTGGATACATATATTTAGTGCATAATGATCAAATTGGAATAATTAGCATTTCCACCTCCTGAAACATTAGCCATATCATTGTGTTGGGAACCTTCAAATGTGTGTAGCTCTTGATAAAACACATGATGAATTGTTATAAGCTGTAGTCACCCTTCTGTGTTGTCTCTTTCTTATGTCCCTATGCATATATTCAAATGTATAATTGTATAAAAACAACACTGTTTTGTAAACCCTTTGAGGTTTTCTTTGCAGCCTGGTTTTTAAATTTGCCTTTACTCCCTTTCCTCCGGAACACCACTCACCTCCTCTTAAATTAACTAGTGTCACTGGCTTAGCAGGTGCTACCCTGTACTTTCCCCATGCTTATATAGTATATAAACATGCATATTCATAAGCTATTTTCTTATGATTTGCTTTTAGAAAAGTGGCATTATATTTCCTACACGGCACTGCTTATYAGTTTTCTCATTCAAAAATACTTCATGAAACTGTTTCCACGGTAACTGTTCTAGCTCTAAATCATTCTTTGTGATGGCTGCATAATATTTCCTATATGAAAGCACCATGATTTATTCAATCATCCCAATATTGCTGGCACCATGAACAAAGCTACAATAAATTACCTGTACATATATCCTTATATATGATGTTTTTATTTCTGTGGGATAGATTCCTGGATTGAAAGGTATATTTCTCATGTTAATAGATGTTTTCATTGTACTTTTAAAAAAAGGTTTAAATTTTACATTCCACTAGTTGTATATGGCAGGGGCTTTCTCCCCCACATTGCCATCAGTGATAGGTGTTATTGCCTGTTTGAACTTTGACAATTTAAGAAGAGCAAAGTGACAACCCCGTTTTTTCCTCCCCTGCCTGCTTAAATAATTGACATATTTTTTTTTAAATGACACATTCCTTAATCACACAACAAGGGTCAAATTCGACTGTGCTTCTGATCATTAATTCCACTTCAGTGAACCAGTCCATAATTTGCTTCTTAAAGAGAGTAATTTTTCCCTTTAAAGAACAACGGGAATGGCCCTTTGACACTTCCTGACAGACATGCGTCCTGTATTCCCGAGGTTCAACCTGCCTCTCTCCCTGGAGTCCTTCTCTCTGTCTTCTTCTCCACCTAGTCTCCTTTTTTATATTAAGCATCCATTCTTCAGTTTAAAAAATATTTTAAAATAAACTTTGAAGACAGAATGCTTCTGTTTCGGCAACATTTGCACGTGAGAGTGTGTTGACAATCCTGGGGGTTCAGCAGCTGGGCTCTGGCTGGAAGAAGCCCTGTGGCCTCATTGATTAAGGTGGCAGTTGTGCAAACTGAGGAGGAGAGACCCCAGCTTTCAAAGCTGGGTGTCTGCTGTCGACCCTCTTCCTCTCCCCCCTCTCCATCACGAGCACCTTAGGGTGGCCTTCTYAGAGGGAAGCCCTGTGCGCCCTGCAGAGCCTGGAGGGGTGTGAGGAAGCCTGCTTCCCTCCCCGAGTCTGGGAGTCCAGGGAGCATCCTAGTCTCTCTGGGGTGTAGGAGAGGGCTGTCACTCCTTTAAGAAAGTCTTGCCAGTTCCATTTGCCAAAGAGCCAGCCTGCCTGGTTCTTGAGCTTTGAAGTGGGAACTTGGAGTTTATCAAGAACTTGGAGTTTATCAAGAACTCAGCGGGAGTCCCCCTGCAGGCACCCCTGGGTCTTCCTGTCACCCGGTTGTTTCTGACATGGGTTTCTGTCCTAGCAATAGAGTGGCCCAAGGGACCCACTGAAGAATGGAAACAAAGCAGCTGAAAGCGTCCCAGGTCTGAGTAGTGATTCCCTCTAACTGTATGACATGTAGGAAATAGGGCTCCAGTCTGAAGGTATTTAATTTTTCTCTTCACTGAAACGCAGCACCTAGACCAGCTTATGAATCTTCCTCTGGATTCTGTGAAGATGGAACCTTGTTACACTAAAGTCAACCTGCTCCCAGAGCGCCTGCAGGAACTCCAGAGCCGCTTCAGATGCCCCCACGTGGATCTGGTGGTCCAGAGGACACAGAACGACATGCAGGAGGTGGGAGCCGCAGGGCAGCCCTGGTTCATGAGGACGGAGAGGGGGCAGAGAAAAGTGCTGGCAGGCGAGCGGGTACTGGTGCCGCGCAGGGAAATGGGCACGATTCCTCGGTCCTGTTGACTGAAGACACACTCTGTCCTTCACAGGCTTCTCCTTCCTTCTATGTTGATGAGCATCACAGAGAAGAAATACCTGAGGGACTAGAGTAGCATTCATTGGTTATTACKTGGTTGCTCGGTGCTTTTCACCTTGCTTGGCCTGCACTTTAGACACTTCTGGGGAGATTTTAAGACATACTGATGTCTCCACCTTATCCCCAGTGATTCTGAATATATATTGATGTATATAAGTAGGTGGACAGATATTTTATATATGTGATTCCCATAAATATTAATTTATATATGTAAATATTTATAATTTATATATATGTAAAATTTTTAAGAGAGCTTCCCCTGCCTGCCTTCCCACTCTTTCTAATACACAGCTGGGATTGAGAACTACTGGCTTAAGTTAATTTCCTAATCTGATTCAGAGTAAGCCAGTCAATCAATCATGACTTCATATTTGAATTTCTTGTGTCTATTGATAGATTCCCTTTTTTTTTTTTTTAACCCACAAGGAATTTTTTCCCCAGGAACAGAAATGAATACCAAACTCTTTCCGTATTACAGTATTCCTAAATGAAGAAAGGTGTAATCAGACACTATTCTGTTTCACAGATATTTGGGGGCAAGCTTACTCTAGGCTGGACATTGTGCCAGATCCCACTTCACAGTTCAGTAGTGACACAAATTCTTAGATAAGTTCACTACAGTGTTGAAAATGGGTTGAATGGTGTGGGATCAATCCCAGGCATGGGAAAGAAAGGAGCGTTTTTTTTTTTTTTTTAACAGTTATGGGTAGGATTCATCAATATATCTTATTAYCTAACCTCTGAGTCATGAGGGATTAAAGATGGGCAAGGAACAAAACTGGACTACAGTTTAACAGCAGTCCAGATAAGAGTGCACCCCTGAGCACTGGATACAGGTACAACTGTAGAGAATAAGACATCTATCTGAACTGTCTCTGTTTCCTGACCTCACCCTCCCTCCCTTCCCAGCCTTGCAGAGAAAGGAAGGATGTGAGGTGGTAGGATGGGAAGCAGAGAGATGTGCTGTGGAGTAGTTGATGTCCACCTAAGCCTGGAGGTGCAGCCCGTAAATGGTTGGCAAAGGCTCCCACCTCATCTTGTCAATCTGTGGTTGCAGCACCAGAGCATGGAGGAGGGGCGTCTCAGTCCCACAGCCCTGGGCTTTCTAGATGAGGGACAATGGGAAACAGATGAGGAAAAAAWATATATATATACATGCATGCAGACCTGCATACGTCCCTTCTAACCTCTTACTGATTGCCCTGTAGCCATGTGGCTGTTGGTCTCACAGCCCAGGTAGTGGATGAGAACCCGTTGCCCTGGGTCACCTCCCAGAACAGCAGGACTCTGTGGGCTCAACCCCTCCCTTCTCTCCAAGCCCAGATGGACACAGCTGGGTTGTCATCCCAGCCTCTCACTTGTTCTGTTTCTGTGTTGTTCTGGTTTCTAGCTCATGCAAAATGCAGTATTCACTTTTGAGCAGTTGCTTTCCCCACATCTCCAAGGAGACGCCTCCAAAATTGCAGCTGCCATTGAGAAGGTCAAGCTCCGAGTCCTGAAGGTAAAGGCTTTTTCTCATCTGTGGAAGCATAAAACAAGAAAGCCCCTGTTTCTTTTGTTAGGTGAACATATCTTGTCCTCCCTTTCAATCTGCTCTTCCCCTCTCCTTCTCCCCGTGACTGTCATCCAGCAGCAATTCCCCCAGTGGCTTTCATGCCTCTTCTGCCATCTAGTGGACACTTTGGGGACTACAGCTACTAAACATCCTTACCCACCGCTTAGTTGTAAACTAAGCTTACTTTCACAGCAGTCGAACTTGACAAACGTTATTGGCTGTCCCCACAAGCACTGTGACAGGTATTGCATAATATATAAAAACAAGCAAGGCACAGATTCTCTCTTTAAAGAGTTYACAACATAGTAAAATCCATAAAATCAGCCAGCATTTTTAAGAAAAATCAAAATCTGAAGGCAAAGGAATTGCAAGGAAAAGATATCTGCCAAATGAAATTGTTTTAAACTGGCTTCACATGTGAGTGCAGAGTAAATGGTTGCAATAATAGGAATTTGTATAAATATAAAGTCACTACAGTTATTGTTAAAGCTTTTTAAAAACACCTAGGCTGTTTCGTTTGATTCTCACAGGAAGTTGTGAGATGATTAGAATGTATCCCCAATGTACAGATGAGGAAACGGATCCTCAAAAAGTTTGATTTTTTTTTTTTTACCAAAGCTCAATCAGCTAGTCAGTGGTGATCTACTAATTTTTTACCATCTGCTGTTTCCCCTAAACATTTCTCTCAGAAGGTCAAAGCCTGGAGGAGGTCCTTGGATTTTACACCTGCTCTTGATGTCTCATAGACCAGAGGAAACTCTAGCAACCAAATCATTGCAATTAAAAACAATGATAAAAACAATGAAAACATGATAATACAAATAATAATGATGCACTTACAATTGACCTGAAAGAAAAGATAGTGCCACTATCAAGTGCTCCCATAATACTTGATAAGTGCCCTCACCTAACTATCCTTCAGTTGGCCTGACCATTCTGCTCATATGCCTATGACTGTTCTCTACATTGTCTGTGATCACCTTGAAGTGACATCGAAAATCAAATCCTGGGCTCCAGGTGTGGGTATTCAATTCAGAACAGAGAGCCGTCATCCTTCTTGTTCTAGATATTGAATTTCTTTGGTTGATAGGTCTCAGTGTTGAGGGTGCTACGAGCCAGGCCCTCTCTTCTCTGTACAAATCATTGCGACACACTGACCCTGCCTGCAGAACAGAGTGGAATGTAATAGCCAACCGGGACTCCCAGGGGCCTACCCAGACAGGGTGATGAGGTGCACACTCACCCCCTCGTTCCATCTCCAACTGCTTGATAACACGGATACCACCTCTCTGTTTTGACCTTGCCTCAGTTTCCATATCTGTCAGAGGGGATKGTGAGATGGGTCATCCCGTCACCACCTACACCTAGAGAGTATATGCAGGAATGACACAGAAAGATCTCTGAGACCTTGGAAATGCAAGAGTCCTCAGAAGTTTGGGTTGGGGAAGGGAGATGACGTGGGCGTCTTGAGTTTTTTGTTTAAGGGAAAGTTAACAGATTGTCGTGCTCCTGTTTAACATATGTTTCTGCCTTGACAGCAATATGATTATGACAGCAGCACCATCCGGAAGAAGATCTTTCAGGAGGCGCTGGTTCAGATCACACTTCCCACCATGCAGAAGGCACTGGCATCCACGTGCAAACCAGTAAGCGAATGGGTCACCCTAAAGAGCCTGCTCTTATTGCCTCTGAAGTTCAAATGAGCTCTTTCGCTGCTCTGTACTTGCAAACATCTGACTGGGCCTGGGGAGGGGTTGGCACACTTTTTTTTTTTTTTTTTATAAATAGTAAATAGTTTAAGCTTCATGGGCCATTTTATCACTTCTGTTGTGACTGCTCAACTCTGCGGTTGTGGCACCCAAGCAGCCAGAGACGGCGCACAGACAGATCTAAGTCTGTGTTCCAATAAGCTTTATTTACAAAAACAGGAAGCTGCCAGGATTTGCTGACCCCTGAACTAGAGGAAATCTCAAAGGGTAATTATCTGAACTTGAGCCAAGCTAAGGGTTGGCACTGAATGCCTAAGGGGACCAGGTGTTCCCTATTATAGCACGGCTCATAAGTCCAACATGTGCTCCGAAACTTGACTTCAACATCCAGAAAATCTCCAGCAACATGATTACAATAGGGTATTTGTTCTGTTACATCCAGTAATGTTTGCTTACTGAAATCAATGACATTGTGTAAATGTGCTGCACACAGCCGGCACACAAGGATAGCCATGATCGCAGAGGTGTGACTTGGTCTGAGGGGAAGAGTCGTGGGCAAGTGGAGTCTTAGGGCTGGTTCAGAACCAGGGTTCAAGTCCCAGATCCTGCATGTTTCTGCCCTTGGGCCCTGGGCCAGTCACTTCTCCTCTTTTGGTCTAGAATTCATCTTTTAAAAATGTAGCCAATAATATTTTGCAGTATCTTTCTTAAGACTGAGAAGACTAGAATGATACCCTTAACACTTGATGAATGCTTACGATGCTTAAACAAAGTGGATTATTGCAAGAAATTTCACAATAGCCCTTTGAGGAGGTCCTGTTTATATCCTCATTGTGCAAATGAGGAAATCTGAGAGGTTAAGCAACAAGCCCAAAGTCACAGTGCAGGTTCCCACCCGARTTTAAACAGTCCACACTCACCTGTACCATGGTGGGTTCCCTGAAGCTGTTCGCCTGTCACACTTCTGCATTTTAAGAATGACTTGCAAGCTTGGGCATTGGCGAGGCCTGCTCCCTCTTGGAGTAAAGATTCAAGAACTTCTTTATCCCATAAAGGGCTTTTTGGCAGCTTGGAGAGTCTCCAAGCAATGACACATTAAAATTCATCTGTGAGTTTATTTCACTGTGGAATTTTCTTTGGTCACTTTTATATTCTGTAAAYGCCATTTTCCTTCAGCTAGTCGTTGGTGTATCTAGTATTGGCATTTATTTCTGGGGGCGTATTTCTTTAGTAGAAAAGCATTTGATTAAGCTAAAGGGGAAAGAGTTGGCCTACCTGACTGTCCCTTGGCCTTATGTGCAGCCCACCACTGCGTCCACCTCTAAATGTGCCTGCAGTTGGACTTCTCTTTTTCAGTCCCTAAGGCAGTTTGGAGGTCTCAGAGCCACCTCCTCCCAGACAAGGGCAGGGCAAAGACGGTTCCCCTTCCTGTCTGCACCTCGCTTCCGAGCCTCAGCAGAGTGAGCTGGGTCCAGTCCACAGAGACCTGCCATTGAACCAAGAGATACTGCTTTCAGAAGAGCCGGTGACTCTGAGTTTTGTGTCAGTGTCATGAGCTTTCAAAGCTCTATATTTACAGAATGGGTAAATMTGGGGATTATCTGCTTCATAGGAGTCTTTATTTTACTGTCACGTGTTTGCCTTGGTTCTTGGGAACTTCCTAGTTCTGTGGCACTCAACCCTATCCTAGCTGCTATTAGAAGAACCTGGGGAACTTTGGAAAAAAAAAAAATCCCCAAGACTCATCCCCAGGATTCCAATTTAATTGGTTCAGAGAATTAAGCATATGATGAAGTTCAATCAATTCAATATAGAAGACCTGTTTTGTAAAACTGGGCATGTCACAGCAGTACAAATGTCCCTCCATTATTCCTTCTCACAGAATTATTCTGTTGGTTGAAACTTTAAAGGTCTATTTATTCAGTCACCACGTATTAAAATGCATCAAATACGATCAAGGCATTGTGCCCAGCCGTGTCCTGCTGTCCTGGAGTTCACAGTGTAGAGGCAGGTGACAGGCATGTGGGATGCCGCATGGGGAGCACAACAGTGGCCCAGTGCAGGAGGATTCCTGGGACTGTGCTGGACCCTGCTTTTAGGATCAGGGAGGACTTGCCAGAGTCGTGCCTTCARTTGGTCCTCAGGGATGAATGACAGAGGAAGGGAAGATGAAAYGGTGTTCCACGCATGAACCTCTGTCCCTCATTTAGCAGAGGAAAAGACAGAGGTTCAGAGTGGTGACATGGCTTACCCAGGAGCCAGTGGTGCATTCAGGACAGTGTCCAGTCTCCTGGGCAGTGATCTGTCCATCTTCCTGGTCTCATAAACTGTCTAGGAGTCACTGAAGCTCATGTCTCTCCAAGCCTTTGGGTTTCCTCTCAGGTGGGTATCAAGGGATCCCATCATTGCCTACTGGCATTACAAACCTGGACCACAGCACMCCCAAGTCTTAGCACTGAAATCTGTTTGAATGTTGTGATTCCACTCACTTGCTGAAGGCATCAAATCCCACTCTAGTTCTCTAAGAGCCAGAACCATCAGTGCAAAGCTTGCTGACTTGGTCACTGGAACATGATTTGGTACACTATGACCCCTGCCCTGTCCTTGTGCTGATCACAGGCAGCCACTGGGAAAYCCTTAGACAGCAGAAAAGGTTAAGGGATTTGGCATCATGCCTGGGCTATCTTAGAAGGAATGGGTRAATGTCAGGGTCAGTTGGAAGAATGGAGGAGAATGTTTTTGAATAATCCTCACATGACTCTTCAGCCAGAAAAGGGGTCTTATAAARTTAAAGCTATGTCTACCTCATGACCCAGAAACCTCACTTCTAGGTATATCCCCAAGATAAATAAAGTCCTTAAGGCCTCAAAAAACTAAAGAAAGAAATTAAAGAAGATGGCTCTGGAGGCTGAGGCAGGAGGATCACGAGTTCAAAGCCAGATTCAGCAACAGCAAGGCACTAAGCAACTCAGTAAGACCCTGTCTCTAAATAAAATACAAAATAGGGCAGAGGATGTGGCTCAGTGGTCAAGTGCCCCCAAGTTCAATACTTGGCACCAAAAAAAAAAAAAAAAAAAAGAAAGAAAGAAAAAGAAAAAGAAATTGAAGAAGACCTTAGAAGATGGAAAGATCTCCCGTGTTCTTGGATAGGCAGAATTAATATTGGAACATATCAAAATGGCCATGCTACCAAAAGCACTATWCAGATATAATGCAGTTCCTATGAAGTTTCCAATGATGTTCTTCACAGAAATAGAAAAAGCAGTCATGAAATTTGTTTGGAAAAAACAAGAGGCCCAGAATAGCCAAAACAATCCTCATCAAGAAAAGTGAAGCAGGAGGCATCACAACACCAGATCTTAAATTACTTGTACTAGAGAGGTATAGTATCAAAAAGAAGCATGGTGTCRGCACCAAAACAGACAGGAAGACCAATGGTATAGAGTAAAGATTCAGAGACAAACCCACACAAATACAGTTACACTAGACAAAGGCTCCATAAACRTATCTTGGAGAAAAGATAGCCTCTTCAACAAACGGTGCCAGAAAACCCRAAATCCATATGTAATAAAATGAAATYAGACCCCTATCTCGCTCCCTGTACAAAACTCAAAGTGGATAAAGGACCTAGGCATTAGACCAGAGACTCTGTGCCTAATAGAAGAAAAAGTCGGCCCAAATCTCCTTCATGTCAGCTTAGGAATTAACTTCCTCAACAAGACTACTAAAGTGTAAGGAATAAAATCAAGAATCAATAAATGGGATGGTACCAAACTAAAAGCTTCTTCACAGCAAAGGAAACAATCAAATCATGAAGAGAGAGCCTACGCAATGGGAGAAGATCTTTGCCACCTGCACTTCAGATAGAGCATTGATCTCCAGGATATACAAAGAACTCAAAAAACTTAACACCAAGACACCAAATAACCCAATCAATCAATGGGCAAGGAACTGAACAGGTACTTCACAAAGAAGAAATACAGTCAGTGAACAAAAATAGGAAAAAATGTGCAATATCTCTAGCAATTAGAGAAATGCAAATTAAAACTACACGGAGGGCTGGGGTTGTGCCTCAGTGGTAGCGTGCTCGCCTAGCATGCATGAGGCACTGGGTTCTATCMTCAGCACCACATAAATGTAAAATAAAGATATTATGTCCACCTAAAACTTAAAAATAAGTAAATATTTAAAAAATTAAAACTACATTGAGATTTCATCTCACTCCAGTCATAATGGCAATTATTAAGAATAAAAGTAATAACTAGGCATGGCGGTACACAACTGTAATCCCAGTGGCTCGGGAGGCCGAGGCAGGAGGATCACGAGTTCAAAGCCAAGAGTCTCAGCAACTTAGCAAAGTCCTAAGCAACTGGAAATACCATGCCATTTTTGTTACTATAGCTCTATCCTGTCTCTAAATAAAATATAAAAAGGGATGGAGATGTAGCTCAGTGGTTAAGCACCCCTGGGTTCAATCCTGAGTAACAAACAAACAAAAAAAAACCAAGTAACAATAAATGTTGGCCAGGATATGGGGAAAGAAGCAATGCACTCATACACTGCTGGTGGGACTGCAATTGGTGCAACCACTCTGGAAAGCAGTATGAAGATTCCTCAGAAAACTTGGAATGGAACCCAGTTATCCTGCTTCTCAGCAATCTTTGCACTGATGGTTCTGGCTATTCATGCTATGATGAATGGATAAAGAAATGGGGTACATATACACAGTAGAGTATTACTCATCCATAAAGAAGAGTGAAATTGTGGCATTTGCTGGTAAATGGATGGAACTGGAGACTATCATGCTAAGTGAAATAAGTCAATCCCAAAAAACCAAAAGCCAAATGCTCTCTCTGATAGGTGGATGCTGACTCATAATAGGTGAGGGGTTGTGGGAGGGAAGAGTGGAGGTTCACCAGATTGGAAGGGAGGGGGAATGGGTATGTGAAAGACAGTAGAATAAATCGGACATAACTTTCCTATGTTCGTATATGAATACATAACCAGTGTAGCTGGTTGTCCACATCACGTACAACCACCAAACTGGGAAGTTATACTCCATGTACGTATGATATGTCAAAATACATTCTACTGTCATGGAGAGAACAGTGGGGGGGGTGCATATGATCAAAATATGTACTATGCATGTACGAATATGTCCCAACAAAACCCATCATTTTCTATAATTAATATGTACCAATAACATGGCAGTTCCGACAGTCAAAAAGTGGAAAAATCTCAATGTCCAAGGAGTATGGATAAATAATTTTAGTTTATCCATATGGTAAATGCTATTTATCGATGGAAAGGAATGAGCTACAGATACATGCAGAAACACGGAAAAATACGAAAAGCAAACACAAACACAATGAATATATAATTTTGTTTATTCATGAACAAGCAAATAGGAATCTATCATGATGTGTGTCAGATGGTGCTTCTCTGTTGGAGGGCTGTGGACTTGAGGGGGCCAAGGAGGAGCCTTGGGGGCAAAGGAAGAGTTCTCCATCCTGATCTGGGTTGTGGTTACACGGGCATATTTATATATTTAACATTGTTGGACTGTACTTTTAAAATCTATGTATTTTATTGTATACTATGTATAATATATGATATAGCATATATTATATATAATATATTTTATATATACAATAAAATACTGTTGGCATTAAATTAAAAAGGAAAAAGGAAATACATTAGATTTGATAGAAAATAAGGCAGCCCAGACCCTTATTTTCTATCAAGGCCTGACAAGGTTTTGAGATGGTCCAAAAATCTCTTCTGTCTTCCCCCTTGAGGCACCTAGGATGTGTGCCCAGGATGAGGGAAGGGACTGGAACTGCCAAGGGTCAGGCACCACCCTGTCCTGGGCAGTTAACCCTGCCTACGTGCCTGCGTGCCTCGAGGGACTCAGATGGGAGAGGACACAGTCCACGATGGCTGGACTCAGCTGTTATCTAAGCATCTTTTGCCTGTGGGCCAACAGGACCCTCGTCCCTCCCTCCCACTCCCAGGAGGGGATCACAAGTGGGAGTCACCCTTTCCTTATCTTCCCCGAGACCAGAAATCCCATTGCACGGCTTCTCCTCTTCATCCTCTTATTTCTGTCTTTTCAGGAGCTTCAGAAATACGAGCAGTTCATCTTTGCAGATCACACCAATATGATCCACGTTGAAAATGTCTACGAGGAGATTTTATATCAGATCCTCCTCGATGAAGCTCTAAAAGGTAAGCGGGCTCACGGGGCACTGGAGGGAACTCTCTGTAGAGGGAAGGACTTCTGAAGTGGGACTTAGGAAGACTCAGAAAGGGGAAGAGACAGTTGGCATTAGAGAGAGAGCCAGGAGGGTGGGGAAGGAAGGAGGTGACCTTGACTGAGCACCCCTGATTTGGCACCCAGTGTGCTAGCCCTTCAGATATTATCCTCTTTCAACAAACATGAACTCTGGAGATGGGGATGTTAAGCTTCCATTAACAGATGAGAAAATTGAGGCTTAGGGGGATTAAATGAGGGTCTCTTCTGAAGAGCTGTCTCCATGCACCGTGCCAGATAGAACCGGGGAAAGAGCTGTGGGCAGAGGCTCAGGGCCCCTCCTGGAGCAGGGCAGCGGTGGCTCCAGCCGCAGGCTCGACCCAAGCTTGCTCAGCACATTCCTCACCTCCGCTAGGCCAGACAGAAAAAGACACAGAGTGATGATGACACAGTGCCCTGGGAGCCTTGCTAGGACTCTGGCACCCCGTGTGCTGTGGAATCGGAGCTTGCCTGGAATTGGAGTGTAAATGGGGACACTTTGATAAAAATATGCTGGAGAGGGCCACCATCAAACTGCAGGCCTAGGAGGCATCTGGTCTCCGTGGCAGAGACCTGGAGTGTCCCTAAATGCTTCCACACAGAAAACTGGCCGTGCACAAGGCCCATGCATGTCACAGTTAGCTAATCACAGGGATTGAGGAGATGAGGCGTGTAAAGGGGCCGGCATGGTGTCCACACCAAGGAGGACCCTGTCAGGGCTGCAGGCAGCTATCACAGCCACCTCTGGGTGATTTGGAAGCAGGCTCCTTTCCTTTGGACAGAAAACTGTCAAAACTTAATTATATCAGTATTTCCCCATGAGTGTTTTTTAATGAAATTATAAAGAAATGTTTAAAAAAGAAATTGTCACAATGCACTTTAAACATTTCACATCTTCTGTATTTCCCTGTTTTTCAAATAAAATTCTATAAATTTTTTAAAAAATAAGAAAATTGTCACGATATCCTAATTTCATTACAATAGTCTATGGCAAGCTGATGAAAAATTATACCAAAGACACAAATCTATACTGCCTCTGATAGGGATGGCACCCCCAGGAATGTGGCCTTATTGGGACCGCAAGCCCTCACAGCCAGGAGTGGAGGCCTGTGGCCAGAAACAGCTGCTACTGTTTTGTTGTTGCTGTCTTGCCTCCCTCCCAAGGCTTTGAGGCTGGTCTCCGTGAGCAGAGATTTTCATGCCAACRAGGCTCTGTCAGATGCATGATCAGAACTGAACACCTAGGACACACTCAGGAATGTGCTCTGAGAAAAAGCAGAGGCAAAAAGGCCGCCCCTGCCCTGCAGGAATTCCAGTCTAGGTGGACACACAGAGCTACACGTATTAGCATGCAATGTGATGGGCCCTCTCTGAGTGAGACGCTGCTGGAGACTGTGAGCCTCCGAAAGCAAAGGCCATCTCTAATTCACCTCTGGATTCCCAGTGCTGGTTCCATATCGATGCCCCACAGACATCTGCAGTTTGAATAAATGAATGAACAAATGCTGCCAGGGTTGAGTCTGGAGAGACATTTGTAGTCACTGGTCATCAGGGAAGGGGACCTGGGAGAGGATGGCCATAAGCCGGGTCTTGAAATTGAGAATGTGGGTATCCAGAGAGGGTGGCGGGGGAGTTTGGTTTCTGGATAAAAATGAGAAAATCCAGGTTTGCCAAGCAGAGTGTTAACACTGTGTTGTGTTTTCCGGTGTATCTCAGTGATAAAGGAGGCTGCGATTCTGAAGAAGCACAACTTATTTGAAGACAATTTGGCCTTGCCCAGTGAAAGCGTGTCCAGCTTAACAGATCTTAAAACCCCCCCGGGGTCAAACCAGGCCAGCCCTGCCAGGAGACTGTCTGCCCTTGTCCCTCCGGAAGCTCCAGACAGCGAGCCCCCGAGTGGCAGCRAGGTGTTCCAGGAGTCCGGGGAACACCAGCAGCCGGAGGCAGAAGGAGAAAGCCTTTCTCTCCCTGGGCCCAGCCCTCCTCCAGGTGGGGATGAGCAGGTGCTCAATGACCTGGCTGCAGAGGACGCAGCAGGAGCCCTGAGCACACCTTCAGCAGAGCCGAGGTYGGGAAAGCCACCTGGGGATGAAGAACCCAGCCCTGGGAAGCCCGAGCCCATGGCCGCCTCTGGATCCCTGAAGGAGCTCAGAGAGCTGTTGACGGTGACTGATGATGGACCAGCGGAGTCAGCCCTGGGGATGGGAACAGACACCAATGAGACACTGGTTCCCCAAGAAAATGAAAAAGAAGAAGAGGAACCCCAGATCCACACCGAGGGCAGTCCAGCAGCTGCCCCCCAGGACAACTCTGAGGAAAGCCCAGTCCGTGAGAGGGAGGCCCAACCTCCCCTTCCAGAGGCTGAGGTCCCCGGAGTGGACACGGGGGCATCTCCAGAGGCCAGCAGCCCTGCTTCTCAGCCAGCCAGTGGAGAGATCAGCCAGGAGGCCAGCTGTCCAGGCTCTGCGGAGGGGCCAGCAGAGGCTGTGGAGCCCCCCGAGAGGGAGCCGGCAGCAGGGACTTCCATGCCGGAGGCCCGTGAAGGAGAGGCCGCGTTGCAGGAGGCTGGCACTGTAGGTTCTGACCCCGGCTGCCCCAGAGAGAGCCAGGTTTCTGAGGAAGGAGAAGCAATGGGAGGGGAAAGCTGCACAGCCCCAGCCGTGGGAAGTGKTACTGAGGTTAAGGCTGCCCGCATTCATGAGTGTCAGTGGGTGGTCGAGAGCGCCCCCCACACCCAGGGCCTAGAGGACGGGAAGGAGTGGGAAGCTTGTCAGGAGAGCACCCCAGAGCAGCCCTTGGAGGAGTGAGAGGGATAATCTGGCGAGAGTCTTTCTTCGAACAAAGTCAGTTAAAGGGTTCTAGTTATGGGCATGCTTAGGAGTTGCTATCAAAAAATTCTGAACTATTTCCAGAGGTCACACACACAGGGTGTGAACATGGAGGCAGACTCTTGTGGGACAGGACTGCTCCACCATGAATGATTGCTTTAGCATTTTAATAGGCATCACCAAAGGGCTGGGGTGAGAGAGAGCTCAAGCCAGGAGAGGGAGCTCAGGGCTTGGTGTTCTCACACTGCACGGGTGCAGTCTTCCACTTGCACTTTAAGGCTTTGAAATTTTGAGTAAGAATACAAATACACACTGTAACTCCAGCCTCACCATGTACTCTATCAAGTTCACAGCCTCTTCAAGACTCAGCATTGGTCCTCAGTCAGGCTGCAAGGAAGGGAAGGTCAGGAACCTAGTGGCCCCTGCCATGTGCAGCCCCAGGGGGCCGCCCATGCCTGTGTGGTCTCTGGAGAAGCTGAGTTGAAACTGAGGGAGGAAGGTTGTGATCTTGTCTGGGCCTGTTCCTAATTCTGCTATCAATTTCTTGTTAATGAATCTTATTGATTCGTATCAGTTCATCACCTTTTAAGGAAATTCAGATGAGGCAAGGAAATCTCATTGGCGTAGATAAGCCTGAAAGCATTTCAAATTAGCCATAGACGGTGCAAAGAACTCAGCTAAATTATGGCGCTTAAAGCCTACTAGTTAAACAAAACATTATTTGAACAGCTACTGCACGCCACATACAGTATTAGGCATAGTAATGACAAAAGAAAAGGTAAGGTGCTTTGTCTTATACAAATTAAAAGACCCATGAGAATTTAGTCTAGAAGAAAAACAAGTGCCAATTGTCAAACCATAGCAGCTTTCTCTCTTTCCATTCAAATGATCCTGACTCATTCACAGAAGGGAACAAAATAAATGAATAAAAAAAGGAATGAATAAAGACAGAAGCCAAGGTTTGTATAATCAAGTTCCAAAAATGTTACCAAAAAGTAGAAATCATTTGGTCGTTCAGCAAGTTAATTGAGTTCCTGTGAGTTAAAAACCACTGGGGATACCCCATGAAAAAGCTGCTGTTCTTTCTTCTTGGAAGGAAATAGAAATATTTTTGAGAATACCAAATCTTCTAAATGGAGCATAGTCTGTAACCATTAATGTTCAAGATAGAATAGACTTACTTGCAAAAAATTAAGATTTGTTCTGTTGTCCTTCAGAAAATGCCAGATTGTCCCAAGTACTACATCCTGAAGATTCCTTCCAGAGACTTTTTAATATTAGATTTCAACATATTGCCCTAAAAGCCTGTTTTGATTATCCCCATCAAGTACATTTACATCAGTTCTTCAGAGAATTGGTTTCACAGGTCAGCCATTTAATCAAGAATTAAAATATTTCCCTTCCCCATAAAGGATGAATGATAGTATCCGAATGGTCTCCTGTTGAATTGCTTCAGCTCCTCTTAGAGTGGTTAGACCCTCATGTCCCGGGGTGRTCCCATCACAGGTGAGGAGGGCAAGAGGCCACTCCTCCCTTGGTCCCTGCCCACCCTGGGCTCCCTCCCTCACATCCTGGCTTTCTGCCCCGAGTATTGAAATCATGTTTACTTCCTGCCTCTCCCAGAAGCTCTCTTCAAGGACAGAGCCTAGGGGTTAGTCATCCTATGTGCTTCCTGCTGCAAGCCCACAGCCCTGAGTAATGGCTTCCTGCATGTGCAGTACCCTTCATATCCCTGACGCCTAGTGCAGGAACTGGCACGTGTCACCCTGCTCAGGAAACGTGGGAACTGAACACCCTGCTCGCTGCTGTGCACGGGCTATTTGGGGCTTGCTGTTAGGAAGGGAGCTGTTTGTAAGCAGGCTTTCTGCCCTTGGTGAGTCTTCCCTTCAATAAAGTTCAAAGTCCAAGGGGCTGACAGCCAGATGGCCAGAAACATCGCCCAGTAAGGCAAGGAGCCAAAGGAGCAGTGCCCAGCCCCACAGACTGCGCTGTCCCTAGGAGATCCCGTGCTGGTGCAGTCCTAGGGCACAGCCAGCCCCCCTCCAGAGCCTCTTCCCTTTGCTCACCTCAGGGCTTCTCGCCCCCTTTAAAAAAGCTGAGAACTTTCCAACCCTAAAGGAGGATTCATTTGACTGTGTCGGAAGGACCAGTATCCTTGCCCTTCTTTTATACATCAAGGATGAGGCTCGAAGTGGCAAGATGTGCTGGAAAATGCATTCGAGGAACTTTGCTTTTACACACTTCTCAAGTTCTCTCAAATAAGCAGAGTGCTTGTTACATACTAGGATGGAGCAGGAAACAGAAGCGCATTAATCTGTAACCGTGTTAACAGTTTGAAGGGAAGAACTTCCAGGTGTTTGTCTTGCTGCTCACGCTGGTTTGTGTGTGTTGCTTTGGTGGCTTCCTGGTGGGAGCCAGGCTACTGTGATCTCAATGAGCAGCCTCCACGTTTTGCTCTGGGGGGTTTCTGTTATGGGCAAAGCATTAGAAATGCCTAAAATCCAAAGACATGGTTTTTGGCAAAAATGATGACATTAAACCATTTATGTTACTGTTGACCTTTCACAAAGAAAATATTTTCCTTGGAAAAAAAACTTGGCTTGTCATTTTTTCCTATGTAGTTTGGAGGACAGAGAGTAGTGCCTTGCATTATCTATTTTTTTTCCTAACCAAAAAAGAAAGAAAGAAGAAAAAAAAAAACTACCCTTGTGACTATAAGGATAAGATTTCAGTTTTTCCAAAAGCTTTATAAAGAGGCTGAAGGTGACGAACAGCAGTTTCTTAGGTCTGACCTATATTTGATTATAAAGATTCTCAAGGCTGGTTTTGCAGTTCTCCGGATCAGAGCCCATGACTTCAGAGAGTTTTACTATCCTCCCAGACTTTCCTTCCTTATAAGAAGTGACTGTTAGGTGCTACACAGCAATTTCAGATGGGGAAAGGGAAGGACATTGCTGACTTAACAACACAGTTTCACTAGGTGAAAAAGCTGGCAACTTGTGCCTCCGTACTTTTCCATAAACAAATGGGTTTGGGGGTTTGGCTTCAGAAGTCTGCAACTTCATGAAGAAAAAAAAAAATAAATCTATACTGTAGTTTTATTTTTATGGTCACTATTTGAAGCAAATAAACTCAAAACACTTTGTAGCCATGCATTTACTCTGCCAAGTGCCTATATTCCAATAAAATCCTCATCCTTGAAGAGCTGTCCAGATGTCATTTATTTGGAATAGGACTGGTTTCATCTTTTAAGCAAATGTCATACTTGAGCTGGAAGGAGCAGAAATGAAAGGTGAGTCACCCTTGCTACACTGTGCAACTTTTGCTTTTCTATTGTTAGGACGGAATCTGCAGGGAAGCCGCTTAATGCCAGGGGAAATTACACTTTGATAATGCATATGCTTATTTTTCTAGGAATTGGATCACACCCATAGTACAGAAATGGGCCATTACTCAGCGCATTAAATGGCTGTTCAATCTTAAATATCTTTTCAGTGGGTAACATTGGACAAAACATTCAGTCCTTCTATAATTATAAAATTGTATTTATTCACTCTCATTCACAGTTGCTCATTTATCCATGAATTCATTCACCAAAAAAAAAATAATGACTGTGTATCTGTTATATACAGGCATTGACTATAGTGGGTGGTGGAGAAATAAAAGCAAACACAGTAGTTGTGATCCTGCAATCAGCAAACTCAAATTCTCAGGGTGGACATGGCCAGAATGTCTGTGACGTGAACTTAGACTGGAAATTTGCTTCCTCATTTGACATAACCTTGTCTATTGTCTCAGCTTTAATTCTACACCAACCACTCAGGCAGGAGAGATACGTTGCAAAAATCAAGTCTAGCAGCTATGGAGATGCTCAGCGTGGCATAAACTTTATCATTCTTTCTCCTTCTTCCATACTAAATTTACAATATCCAATTATCAGTCCCAGAGTGGCCCCTTTGGACCTTCTATGTAGGGCCAATAATCATATTGGAATTGGAGAAGATGAGGGAGTTGATTTGGAAGTGTGCAGAGTTTTGGGGTGTTTTTGTTTTTGTTCTTATCTATGCTTATTGGGTGTAGCTTCGGACAGTAGAGGCTTTGAGAAGAGTCTTCTAAAGTTATTCTCTCCTTAGCCACACTCAGAGTGGCTGTTTCTTGAGCATCTCTAAATCTTTGCCATATTCTTCACTTTACCATAAGCATCCAGCTCTCCCTTTCCATCTGGCCAGTTCCCACTTTTCCTGAAAGTCGGGACACATGAGGACAAACTCCCCACCCTGCCCCCATACCCAATAACATTTTCTGAACTCTCACCCTGACTTACTTGCCTACTTCTGTTCTCCTCTCTTACTCTAATGTAGCCATTTACCTTCCCTCTGCCTTTGGGGCATGTACCCCCGTCTTCAATCTTTGTGTCCCTAGCAGACAGACAGTCCTTATGTATAGTAAATGCTCAATCCATGTTGAATGAATGAATAAGTAAATATCACCCATTCCAGATGTTGGATAAAAGTAAAGCTGATGACCGTTCAGTGTACCTGAAGGATGTGTAAAGATGGCAATTACTCAACCTGGTGTGCTGTTTTACTGATGAAACTTGACCATGAGTTTATGCAAACCCATTTTTTTCAGGAGGGAGTTTGAAGGCCAAGTTACCCCCAAATCAGGGGTACTATGAACCCTGATAGGAGAGTGGCTTCCAATGGGCTTTCCCAAGGTCTCCATGATATAAACTATGAAAAAAGGTTAAAAAGTTCCCTTGCTTTGCGTTCTAGTCTGCAAAACCCACCAATACTCATAGAGAGCCTTTGCCTTCTGGCCATTTCTCCTCTTGCTGGGCAAGGAGCAGGAAAGAAGATATGGTCCCTGCTTTTTAGGAAGCTCAGTCTAGTTGGGAAGACCTAGAAACCAATGGGAGTTCTGCAAGAAGAGGAGGAGAGTCCTGATAGCACACATGAGGAGCAACTACTGACTATCCACCCAAGTTCATGTTTAATTATTGAACCTATTAAGCCTGCCCTCTTTTTGCCTCTTTTAAACCCTGAAGAAAACTTGGTAATTACCAAAATTCCTTTATCTCATTCCTACAAACTCTTTCCAGGAATCTCGCGTCCTCTGTGGGTGCTGTTCTAGACTTTCTGCAGACCTGGTGTGTCTTCCACCTGGTGTCTACACAAAGCAGTACTTACATGCAGTGGGGAAGGACTCTATGTGGGTTAACCATCCCAAGAGGGTGGGAGACAAGGCACACTGGGCAGGGAAGTGTGTTTGTGTGCTGAAGAAGCCACTGAGGTGACGTTGAAACTAAGAGGTGACTTCTCCTGGTATGATTTCAATTCCTGCCTTCTACACTCCCATTTTTGGGGAAAGTGATTTTATTTGAACATAAATTTGAGTGAGATCATGAGGGGAAAAAAGGAAGGTGTCTTTATTTCTATCTATTGGAGGCTTCAAGTTTTTGAGTCCTTGAATTTTTCTATTTGTGTTAGATGATGCTTTCAATGTACCGCTGCAGGAAGCCATCCGTGAAATGCGTGAGGACCTTCTTCAGCATCGTAGCCAATGGGGGCGTAGATCTGGCATCGGGAACTTCCCGAGGCAGTCCCACAGGGATAGATATCCCAAATGCAAGTGAACTCCCCCTCAGCTCTGCTAAGTGTTCTCATGCAGCATCAAAGATGGGCTCGAGCGGCCAGTTAGCTCAGTTGGTTAGAGCGTGGTGCTAATAACGCCAAGGTTGTGGATGTGGCTCAAGAGGTAGTGCACTCGCCTGGCATGCGTGCGGCCCAGGTTCGATCCTCAGCACCACATACAAACAAAGATGTGGTATCCGCCGAAAACTAAAAATAAATAAATATTAAAATTAAAAAAAAAAAAAGATGGGCCCGAGCAGCTAGGAACTGAGCAGCCTACCTGCCTCCACCTCTATCCTGTTTTGGTGAAGAACTTTCCATAGAATCTCTTTGATGTCTTCTGATATAAATAAAGAAAACATAGGCTCCTTTCTTTGTTAGAACCTGGACCCTTCTGGTTAGCTTTGCCCTTCTCTGCCCCCTCTTTGAAACTACTTTCTGTGTTGCATATTCTGCCAGGCCCTGAGAATAGAGTGGTAAGCAAAACAATCAGTCCTTGCCCTCATTCCATTCAGATTTGTGGGCTATCTTTTCTGTTCTGAAAATTTCAATTATTTAACTTTAGGGAGAAATTTAATACACATAAAAAAAATCAAATCACATTTTGGAACTCCATGTCAGCTTTTTCTTGCTGTGACAAATACCTGAGAAAAACAACTCCAGAGAGGAAAGGTATTGGAGGGATCTTGGTGGCAGAGGTTTCAGTATATGGTCAGCCAGCTCCATCACTTTGGGCCTGATGTGGGGCCGAACATCATGGAGGAAGGACATAATGGAAGAAAATTGTTCACTCATGACTGCCAGGAAGCAGAGAGAAAGAGAGGTACCAGGGACAAGAAATTATCTTCTGAGGCATCCCCCCAGTAACTGTGACTTCCTCCAATTGCGTCCCACTTCCCAGAAGTCCATTCAACTATCAATGGACTAATGCACGGATGAGATTAGAGCCCTCATGATCCAATCACTTTCCAAAGACTTCACCTCTGGTCTGGCTGCACGGGGGATCAAGCTTCAACGCATTAGTCTTTGGGGGTCACTTTGTGTCCAGACTGTAATAAATTCTTCATTAAGCCTGATTATCAATTAGGTTCACTCTCTCTCTGAGGTCCTTTGTGAGAATGTTGCACAACTGTCACTTCATTCACTTTCCTTTTTAAAAGTTGTTGTGGGGATTTAAAAAGGTAATGTACTATAAAACTTAAGCCCAGATGAATAAAATAGGCTCAGAGAAATTAAGTAATGTCCTGCAGGTTACATAGCTGGTGACTAGTTAAGCAGTTGTACCATGTAGCAATCATTACAAAACAAACCATTCTTAACACTCAGTAGCTTAAAACATTCTTGAGCCAAAGACTATAGGTTGAGCATCAGGTACATAGTTCTCTGAATATGGCTCTCTCAATATGTTTGGGAATTGAGTGGCTAGATGTCGGTCTAGTCTAGACACCTTTGGGACAACTGGGCTCTACCCCATGTGGCCTCCCAGATGTCAGCAGACTAGTCCAGGCTTATTCTTCAGGTAGAAGCAAGGTAAAGAGAGAAAGAGAGAGGGAGACAGAAGGAGAAGCCAGCAGAAGGCTCTTAGAGTCCTGGGCCAGAACTGGCCTGCCATCACTTCCTCCCTATTCTGTTGGCTAAAGGAAGTCAAGAGGCTGGCCAAGTTTCAAAGGATAGGAGAGCTGCAAGGTCACACCACATTGGGCATAAATCCAAGGATGCCATTAACCAGGGACTATCAGTGCAATCTGTTTACTTCACCAGGATTCAAATGACTCCTGCTGGTCTCTAAAACCCACACTCTTGCCTCCAGACTGCACTAACTATAAATACTCCCTCAGCCAATCTAAGTCACTGTCATGCACTCTTCTAATGTCTAGTCTCTGCTGGAGCCAGACTTGCTATTGGGCGAACAAAACATGATCGTTCCCAACTCCAAGCCTTTGATCTAACAAGGAACCTTGATTATTACTAGTATTATTTGTGGTGCTGGGGATTGAACCCAGGGCTTTTTGCATATGAGGCAAGCACTCTACCAACTGAGCTATATCCCCAGCCCCAGAACCTTGATTTTTGCATTGGT